TTGTCTCCCTCCTTCAAAAACCCCAACTGCAAACAAACAGCTGGACCTTCTTTCCCCCTCTCCAGCCAAAAGTCAAAACGTGCATTCACATCCTTGGATCCTGTGGGCGATAGAGACCGTTGCCGCGCCGCTGCAAGCCATTGCCACCTAGCCAGGCGCCATCTTTTTTTTGGGAGAAGCCCTGCTCCGCGCGGGGAGGGGGCAGGCAACCAACAAGCAATACTACGGTAGAGTAGCAACAGAGAGGTCAAGACGCAGGTCATCTGCACCTCTATCATCCCCAAGCATTCAAACTCCTCCTCCCCAATCCCAAACAGCATGACAAAGAAATGGTGGCGTAGAGTCTAAAAGGCCTCACGGGGGCATTTTTGCCGGCATGCAAAAAGCAGGCTAGGCTGTACTCGTGTAAGCGAGAGGGCTTTTTTTTCGCACTGGGAATCTCACAAAAGCCCATTCAGCTGGAGTGGGATTTTGTGAAAGAGGGGGACTCGGCCAGATTGCCGTTATCCTTTCTGTGTCTCCTCGGCTCCGGAATCCGAATAGTTAGAAGCTGGCGTCGTTCGTGGCGGCGGTGGCTGGCAAGACGGCGCGCCGGAAGACCGAGGCACCGAAGCTACAGGACTGCAACAGTGACATTCATGCAATTCCATGATAGCTGCAAATTCCAAGTCATATGGGCGGTATCAAGCCCTGCCAAGCTTTTCCTCGACTGACTACAGTAGCCCTGATGGAGCGCCCTTATGTCATGTTTCGTTTCAATTTCCTTCCGACTCTCCCTGTAACCCCCTACCCAGCCGTTTTAACCGCCCCGGTTTATTAGCAGCGTTCTGTACGTAGTAGGGTCAAAACTCGAACCAAAATTAGCAGTCAGATACGGATACAAGGGTGTGTGTCCCGCAGATACGAATACCAAGGCCCTGTGCCGAGGCCACCGTTCATTGGAAAGATTGTGAAGAAAATGCTGCTGCCTTTTTTTTTTTTTGCTACGGCTGATGCTGCTGCGCCGTGAATCTTGTGTCTCTTGTTGGAGAGGGTGGTGGGCCGGCCAAGGTGCAGGTTGACAAGTCGGGGAGTACGGAGTAGGTAGGTGAGATAAATGCATGTCTCATTTTTAAGGATGGGGTTTCAGAGAGCAACAATTAGGCAAAGACATGGAGCTGCGACTCTCATCAGCCAGCCATCGAACGCATGTGCATTTTGAGTTGTGATTTCACTTGTCCGGTGAAGACTACGGATACCGCTGGCTGCCTCACCGGCCTTGCTCCGAGTCCCCGAGTCGTCCGTCACGATAAGCGATCCCGAGCCTCTCCACGGTGATTGTCACTTGCCGAACCCCCCGAGAAATCGACACTCACCACGTCAGTTCTGACGAAAGCTCAACCTTGAAGGCTCCGTCTGTTTAGAAACCGTTTTCGTAACGGACCCTCCCTGGTGAAGATGTAACTGCGTACTGCACTGCACCTTTTGCGTGCATTAAAATATCCCAGTCTCTCTCCATCCCATCCCCCAACCACCCCCATCAAACCACCCCCGCTCCGACTCTTGTCGGCACAGCGCGATGCGTGTTGCTTACAATGCTGCATGTCGATGTCATAACGGGACGGGCACAGACGCCGGTAGCGTCGATTTGAAAGGAAAAAAAAGAGCGTCCATGACGTTAGAATGACTAGCTTGAGGGTTCTTCATGTGCAAAGGGTTTCCCTCTCCTTTTTGACAGCTGTTGACAGCTACTTTTGACGTGACAAGTCGTGATGTTATGGATGTTCTTGAAACAGCTCAAGTCCTCAAACAGAGTTTCACAACACGTGGAGCATGGATGAGCGGGAGATCATCAAAGAATCGACATCAAGACCCAGCGTCTGATCTTCAAACTCTCTGCAACCCGCGATGTCTAAGGCTCTATCGAAAAGCGTCATATTCTCCGCGTAATTCCCAGTCCATGGATGTAAACATGCATTGCGTCAATTTCTCCCGTTGCATCCTCGTGTCTGAATACCCTCACTCCGTGCCCCCTCCCAACACAGGAAGGTCCCTAAAAAAAGCGAGACCCAAGACCCCTTGCTCACTCACTGTCGTCATCCCGTCCGCTGACCTCATCGTGCAGAAAGAAACCCGTCTACACGCCCCCCTGCGACAAGGCCTGCTTGCTTTACGTTGCATCGACGCGGGAAACAGGGCGGCCGCGGGTGTGGGTTTGCTTCGGTTTGGAACTGTTTGTCGACAGGGGGCTGGCTAGATAAAACGGTGAGCTTGAGCTGGTGAGGCGTGCGAGCGAGCGAGGCAGCCCGCGTAGGCGGTGATGAGATGGCAGAGCCCGTTTCGTGGTGACGTGGGATAGGTTATATTCGTCTTAGTGCTGGACTCGCGCTGTCAGACTTGGCGGTCAGCAGCTTATTTGCAGTCTCGCTTCTAGAAATGTTCCAATTCGTATACCGATGTCATCTTGATTGCTATTTGATGGTTGAATACACCGGCTGTATCAACCATGTCCTCCAACGCCGTGCTCCGTCATATTCCTAAATGTCCCGTTCCATCCCATCCGAGAATTACCATATACCGCGGCTTGTAAGCGACCCTGATCCAACACATGATGCTCATGAAATAACTCGTCCGTGCTTCAACCCTCCATGTTCACATCCGTCTCTTTGCCCAGGTTCTTGAGCAAGAAACTGCGCTTAAAGTACTCATTGGGATGCACCATCGTCTCGAGTTGGTTTTGAGTCATGACACCTTCATCCTTGGCCTTCTTCATCTCTGCCTTGTGTAGGTATTCAAAGACACTGTGATATGTAGTTAGTAAAAGTCTGAACCAACTCGTTTCTTTCTCATCTGGCAGAGAACGCGTCGAGGGGTTAAATGCTTACCGGTTACACGCCATGTGATACTTTTGCTTGTCTTTATCCTCCTTGATACCCTGAATCACAGATCGATCATTCACGCCCATGCTCTGCACCAGTGCTGTAAGGTTCTCCAGGCTAAAGTGCCTGTATGGGCATCCGTGAGCCTCACCGGGGCCTGGCGGATGCTCTGTGAGAATCTTTTGGCAACTGAAGGGGCTGTATCCGCCTCCCCTCCGGTTGGAGTCACCACCAACATCGCCATATATGTGACGAACATTGTACCTGTAGTCCTTGTTGAATGTATCGTCGGTAATCTTGTGGAAACTGCTCCTCCAGAACATGAGAGACTCCTCTAAGTTGAGACCAATGCCCTTGAGGAAGAGGCCGTATTGTAGACGACCGTAGTGCTTCAGGTGGGCATCACGGCGCAGTGAGCGATGCAGATGGGACATGCAAGCCGGGAAGTGCTGAGAGAGGTTGTCGATATTGGCGGCGCTGATATGAGCACCAGGCACGGCGGCCGTGTTCGACGAGTAGGCCGAGTCCGGAGTGATGAAGTTCTTGGAAAGGTGGTTAAGGATAGGGGTAAGGCGGTCGTCTTCGTCGAGTCGAGGTAGTGCACGTGCAGTCAACTGCCAAGGTTAGCATTGCACTAAAAGGAGCGAATAGCCCAGCTTACCTCGAGTTGGCGTTCTAGACGTGAGCTGAACTCCCCAATGACCATACCGGTCTGTTCACGCCCTGGCACGAATGCCTTGCCTGCCTTCAAAAAGACCCTCCGACTCTCGATCAACTCGGGAACTCGCTCCCAGTCCACCTTGAACCAAGAATCGTCCTCTGCATCTCCTTTCCTGCCGCTGCTAAATGCGGCCAACTCGGCAGCGTACTCCCTCCTGTCATCCTCTGTCACATCCTCACACCAATCCAGGCCCAGGGTCTTGACAAAGGCAGATCGTTCAGCAAGATCGTCATCGTTGAGCCGGAGACGGAAAAGCATCGTCTCGACACGGGTGAATCGGCGTCGCAGATCTTCTGTGGACGCGAAAGCTAGTCGAAGGATAAAGTGGCTGTAGTGATCTTTTTGTCGCTGGGCGAAAATCTTTGTCGAGCCCGAGCTGTTGGCCTCAAGGTTTAGGTACTTCTTGAGAATGGGCTTCATGTGCGTGGCCGTCTCGGCGGGGGACTTGTTGCGGAACGAGCATGCTTCGAGCTCAGCGAGGACTGCCTGGTGTCAGAAACGAAGCAATTCACTTCAGAGGTAAAGAACTTGCCTCGAAGTCTGTCGATGGCCCATTGCTCAAACTGCTCAAGTGTAATGTCTGCCGTGGGAGGGTCCGTGTAAAAGTTGAGGCGATGAGGATAGTCGAGGTCCTTGTACTGGGGAGTGGCAAACTGCTTCTTGCGATAGTCGACGACATTTCGCCTCTTGGGGTCGATTCGGTTAAAGTCTTGCCGCAACATGTTGTCGTCGTCTTTGTCGAGCGTTGCTATGAGGAATGTCACGAAGGTGAAATTCTGGCGTGGATGCCAGGGAGATGACGGGGGGAAGCGTAAAGTGGGAGACGCGACTTTACGCGTCTGGCGTCGCGAGGTGGGGCCTTGTTTAAGAGCCTATGGACCAATCATCAGGCGCTAAATGCTGCTCTCCAGCGCCCCGTCCCCTGTGGATCTCGCCTCAGGGATCCATCACGGTTCCCCAGGGGACGCGACCAGGCGGACCATGATCTCTAGGTAACTGGAGGGGTTGCTTGGCAGGGGATTGAGATATAGAATTTGAGGTGTTATTCAGAAGCTCGCAGAGGGAAGTCATATTTGTCTATGATTAGGGAGTCTTGCTTTCGCCTTTCAGTCTCGATCATCCACCTCTATGTCGTGGGGGATGGTTCAGAAGGTGCCTCAGTGGGCGGGCACCTTTAGTTGCGTCCTGAGGCGTCATGACCTCAGCGATGAGTTCTCAACTACACTTCATCGTCACCGCATAACTTCTGCATTTTCAATACAACAAGACCTACATTTTAATCAATCTGTCTTATAATGCCGCCCCAACTTCGGAACCGGTCAAGACAACAGGAACCGGTAACATGTTCATACATGGTTCCTTTCAGAATCCCTCCTGGTGTGCGTACTTCTGCTCCCTCACCCTTCAGCTTGAGGCTAACCATGCATCGCCAGCTACCCGGCCAAGCTGATTCTAGCTCGGGTCTCATTTTCAAGCTTCCCCCTGAGATACTCGTGCAAATCGCTCAGCATGCCCAGCCCATCGACCGAGTTATGCTTGCATTGTCCTGCAAGAGGATGCTCGCTGCCTCCAAACTGTTCCATCTACAAGTGCCTGATCGCGATCATCACGTCTCCCGCTGGAGCTCAGAACCACCAGAACCCAAGGCAGATAGCTGCTCGTGCTCCCTGGTGGGGGATTTGCTACTGCGGTTCCGACCTGTTGATTCTTGGGGTAGAGTGCGTCACGACCGGGGCTGGTGTCTCGATTGCAACAGATATCGCCCAAAACGAAAGCGATATTGGAGCGACATTCTGCGGAAGATGAGTACACAGGACTGGACCGATGCCGATTATTTACTCTGGGTTTCGGGCGTCGATTGGTACAACTTGGGGTACAAAAGACAATGCCCTTCCTGCTACAGGAGAGAAGTTCAGTGGAGCATTGCATGAGATAGGACAATGATTGATGCAAAAACCACAATACCCAAGATTTCCCCATATGAACTCTCTCTAGGTTCTTGGATGCCTTGCGAGCCATTCTGCAGTCATTGTCGCTCCCCTCGTCGTCTCACCCATGTGTTTGCAGGGTCCGCATGACTTGGGGCCGATTCCTAAATTCTCTCGGGCGGACCTTCTTCCCCCGCTCAAACCCAAGCCTTCAAACCCAACTCCCTTTACTTCACTTCATTTCATCCAGCTTGCGCCAGGAAAGATTACACCATCATAATATTATTACATTTGGGGTTTTTGAGGCCTAGGGCCATGGTTCACCTGGTTGAAAGACGACGCGCTTGCAGACCCCTTTCTCCAGCGCCTTTTGTTAGTGCCGGTGGCACAGGCTGAGCCGGCCATGTCCGACCCCATCGATATCCCTCTCAAGAGAAGTCGCCTACGAGGAGCGGCTCATGGGACAAGCCCTTTTCCTGAAGATGAGGGGCCTTACATGGGCTATATCGAAATATTCCAAAAGTATAGAGTTCAGGTTCCCCCCAGGCTTCCTCCTCAATGCTAACAGGTCAGTGGTCACATCTACCAAGCCGTGTCCTCCGGCTCCGGCAAGTATGTCACAGTCGGCTCACGATGCGACATGCCCGCTCTCGCTTTCATAGTTGAAAAGAACCGGGTCACGAAGATGACTACGATAGCTGTGCATGGAAGGGATCTGAAGCACTCGATTGCACGCGCCATTCCCGAGGTCAAGGTCAAGCCATTCGAGCTAGCCCTCGACTTCAACACGGTTGTCAAGCACTATGCTGACTTGAAGGCCGAGGCTTCTTACTTGTCCATGTGGAAACCTTACAGCGACACGGCCAAGGAAATGGAATTGCTGGTCAATGACCTCCTGCTGGAGCGTGCCCTCTATGATGGCCTCGACCTTGCGTCTCTTCGGGAACAGGGTATTCTCTCCAGCACCCACATCCATGCCATCCGCGAGAGATGCATCGACCATGGCTTGGCTGATCTGGAGATCTGCCACCGTATCGGCCAATCATCCGAACATCAAAAGGAAGAATACCTGAAAAGTCAGAATTACAGGATATACCAGCTTGCTATGGAGGGCAACCTTTGTGACCTTGTCGCATTCTGCGAGCCCCTCCTCAGGTCCAGAGAGATCGAGGTGTTTTTCAACTCTGATCTCCTTCGGCAACTCCTCGACAAGGACTTCTTCGATATTTACCAGTACCTGCTGGATCTCATCGACCGCACAAGACCAACGGCAGTGGACGTGCCTGATCCTGATTACTCCGACATTACATACGATCCGTTTTATGTCGCTATTCGTCTCGGCCATTACCCTACAGTTCAAGCCATGGTGATTGAAGAAACAACCTTTGAAGGGTACATTGAAGACGACCTTAACGCAGGCGTTGACCGCATCTTAACGCCGCTCCTGGCTGCAGTCCTATGGAATCGACCCGATATGATCCAGATGTTCAGACAGTCTCCCATATATTGTGGACGCATGACACAGGCCGTCCACCTTGCCGCCGAGGTAGGGTTGCCGACTATCATCCAGACTCTCAGCGAGACTCCCCAGATGAAGGCTGGGTATGGCCCAATGGTGAACAGATATCCCCCAAAGAGTCTACCGGAAAGGCTCTTTGACCTACCACAACAGGACTTGTCCTGGATCAACTCTTCACCAGTTTCTCTATCACCTATCGGAGATGCGAGTCTCTCTAGTATCAGCCAAGCGGCGTACAGTTGGGGTCTTGAGGCTCAAACACCATGGGAGAGTTTTGCATCCATCGCTGCAACTGACTCTCCCGCGATGGCTACTACTTCCGTCTTCACGCCTGCCACGTACTCAAGTCTGCCTACCCCAGTCGAAGAAGTCATGAACCCACTTTCAGCTTTCTCTCCCGCTTTGCCGTCACCATCTGGCCTCTGTGCCTCTACGCTCGTCGATCCGCACAGCTTCGGTCAGATAGATAAGCCGCTGCCGATATGTGCACGGCCTAGGGATGTCCCTCTATTCATAGGCCACACAAAGAGCTACACAAAGCGTCACAAGTCTGGGCGCGCCTCTCTGGTGCGGCTTGAACGGCGGTGTCAGATCGTGGGCAGTGTCTGCGGTAACTGCACCAATCAACACGAGTTTCTAGAGATATCGAACCGATGCGCCGATACTCATAGTGCCTGGAGATTAGGACTCGAGTCTCTCCGCAAGATCATGAATAACCTAGCACCTTGCGGTCTCGCTGAGACTCTCGCCAGCGTCCTGGTAGCGGATGCTCTGGTCTGCCAAATTTCTCAGGAGGAAGGCCTTATATTTCAGTAAGAAATGTTCTTACTCAATTTCCGTATCCTTTTACTAACACTGTATTCAGGTTTGTCGCCGATCTGTGGCGCTGGAAGATCGGCCTCACTCAAGTTGAAATGGCCTTGTTTGACAAGATTGCTTGCGCTGCTTGGCACATCGACACCATTCCTGTCTCAATTGCGAGCACCTGCAAGCCTGCATTTGGAAGTTTGATAAGAGAGCTCGTCTCTTATAAAAACTTGGAGCCAACTAGGACAGTGTCGCGTGGCATTCGGCTAGAGTCGATTCAGCGACAGATGAAGACTCACGAGAGGCATCCGAGGCGCCTCAAGCGAATTGAAGAGAACAGCACTCCACAAAACGTCGAAGATTTGCAGGATGGCCGGCCTCCCTCCCCTGGACTGGAGGAATTTTGGAAAGGGAAGCCTTTCCGCATCGAGGATTTCTTTGATGAGCCAGCTTATCACAAGGACTCAATACTACCCGAATCATCAGACGCAAAGCCTGTTCATGCCAACGTGGCCATATTGCTTGAATCGGTGGCATTTACAATATTTCTCGCGGCGGCATCGTGTAAGTCTCAAGCTCTTCTCTCACGCTGATGACACTAACAACTGGACAGCCACCCAACATACCCTGGAAGATGACCAGCCGCAGTCTGTTGCATCGCCACTCTCAGTCGACAACCAATCCCGCGCAATGGTGGAGGAATTCCTTAGCCTGGGGTCCGAGGATGAGTTCTCGTATGATTCAGGTATTGGCATGGACTCACCTGTCAAGAGCTCTGTCAGCCGGTACATACTGGAGATGCGGAAGGCGAGTGAGAACCGGTCTCGGCTGCCGTCGACGACCCCCATGACATCGAACTTGGCGAACCTAGCAGGGTTTCGCTCACCTACAGACTCCACCGAGGCCATGACAAGTTCCATCTCAGGTGCGCCACCTGTGATGACGGCGGCGACTACTGTCTTGCCGCCGGCGGAAACGTTGGATAGCCTGGGTTTAGGCGAGACGCCGGACGACCTCGACTTCCAAGGTCTTGGTTTCCTTGACTTCCAGGACCTCGAATTTCTGGGCGTTGACCCCCAGGCCTTTGGGAGTTATGACCTTGATTTACAAGCTCAAACGCAGGAACCTCAGAGCCAGTGGACTCAACCGCTGGAGTCTCCTTTGCCAGCCAGCAATTCATCCGGTGGTACAACACCCTCAGCGACCACGACCACGACCACGACCACGACCAAGAGGAAGCCTAGCTGCCCTCAATGTGAAAAGAAATTTTCGAGTGTGAGCAATCGCAACAAGCACATCAGGGAGGGATGTCGGCTCGGAGAAAAGTCAACATATCCTTGCACCTATCAAACTTTGGGATGCACCAAGTCGCTCAGCTCATACTGGTACCGACAGCGGCATGAAGAGGATCGCTGCAAATACAATCCTTCAAGAGCCCGTCGGTGAAAGAGATTGATGGAATAACGACTTATGTAATGATTGGGTATACCCTTGGGCGTTTAGGGAAGATATTTTTGGGCATCTAGCACTACGGAGTAGATGCATTATGAATACACAGCGATTGTGTGTTTTTCTTGTCGATTTTTGGCAATAACTCAGGAAGTATAGCCAACAGTACCAGCTTTTCTTCTTGATCAGTTCCCTCAATGCGACGCCGTCACGTTGGTGGCCTCAATGAGAGGCTAGCTTGAGCACTGCCCCAGAACCAAGGACCTTGTCCTAAAGCTACTGACAAAAGTTGGGGAGATCTGGGTGCGACAGACAAGGATCACAATCTGCCTGCAGGAAGGCATTTCGAATTGATACATTTCACAGGCCTTTTTAGCTTTGGATTGGAGCTCTAGCTTCGAATGCCACATGCAAGTGACCTTAAGGTTTCTGTTGCCTGACGCCATCGACGGTCCGGGTCTAGAGCGCCAGCGCCCGCGACGGCACAACGGGAGCTATGGATTGGATGGAGGGGGAGGGAACCTGAAGCTGCGGCGGCTAGAGACGTTGAAGACATGACATGACGCACCAAAACCCGGCGGGAAAAGACACCAGACAGAGATTCAAGGAAGGAGGCACGGAGAAGAACCTTGCCCAGTCTCGTCAAGTCCGTCGGCCGGGTACTAGCTCCGCCATCTCCACCGCGCCATGGCCCTTGGGCCTCCACAGAGTCGCCCGCAGCCGAGTCGTGGACGGGCACTTTTGCTGCAGCCATAGGGGACGTTGGTACGGGAATGCGTGACTCGCCATAGGGCTGAATGGCCCAGAGCACGCTATAGCACGGGCGCTGAAACATGTCTAGAGATGGAGGATGGATTGGCCTCTTTCTCTGCAGCTATCTGTCACTCGTTCATTCATTCCCTCCATCCTCCACCTACCTTGAACATGTAAGACGCGCCAGGGTATCAGTACAGCATGTTCAATGTCGGCCCAATGGACAATGCTACCTGGATGTCAACATTGGATCCACATTGAGTTGTGTTGTCTCTTGAGATATGTCGATGCAGATGGACCCATGCCCTGTCTAGATGCATCACCTCGCGAGACAACAACAGCATCAAAAACGGCCCCCACCCCAGCTGATCGTCCTCGTTGTACCAGCATGGGTCCATCCATCCATGATGGAGGGGCACTCTGCAGAGAGCCCTTCCGGCTGCCTCGCCGGGCTGAGGCTGGAGGAACAGGGTCCCTGTCTCTAGGCGTCAAGGCGGCCAGTCTTATTGGGTCGTGGCCGCACTTTTGCTGGGTCATCGAGTCCTTTTTCCTTCATGCTTCCTTCATCCGCCTCGTATTATATGACGTTCCCCTCTCTCACTCTCGTTCAGCTTCAGACCCGTAACGGCTCCTTCTTGGTGGTCGCAGCAATCCACCTCATCTGATAAGCAACAGCAAAAGCTACTCAGCCCTTATAATCCCCCTCTATCCCTGCGCCTACAAATCCTCTTGCTTACTGAGGGCAATGATCTAGCCCCCAATGATGGCTTCCTCCACCGTCTTCTCGGCGAGGCGCAGGCCGACTCCGGGAGACTCTGACGATACCGACATGAGCACACCGCGCTCTGCTCCCGGGAAACGGATCCCGAGCTCAGAGTGGGAGAAGAAGAGACCCATCATCACTCGTCTGTATCAGGAGGAGAAGCGCCCGCTCAAAGAGGTTATGGAAATCCTCCATCGTGAACACGGCTTCACTGCGACGTGCGTCAACGCCTTCTTTCCTTGCTTGCTTGCCTGCTTCTACGTGACCCTCACCGGCCGGGTCTTGCTTGCTATTCTATCCGTTCTCACGGTAAATTGCATTGGATTGACTGGCTGACTTGCCTTCCAGCGTCAAGATGTACAAGTCGAGGATATGGAAGTGGGGGCTCGACAAGAAGCTCAAGAGCGACGAGGTCCTGGCCATCCTCATCATCAAGACGGAACGAGACGCCCAAGGCAAGGCCTCCGAGTTCACCATCCGAGGCCAAAAGGTTGATCTCGACAACATCAATCGCTACATCCGACGGAATCCAGGACTGGTAGCCCGCTTCCGAGCTGGCGAGCTGCCCAACGTCAATACTCACATAGAGGTCAACTGCCGAACACCATCACCCGCCCCGAGCCCGTCATTACCACCGCCTCCGGAGACGCTCCGTGTCGAGCAGGTTCTGGGCCTGTTTAGAAATTACGTCGATGCGTCCTTTTCCAGCGGCGCCTGGAAACACGAACACAACGTCTACTGCGTCAGCCGGAAATCGAGGGACCAGGGCGAAGAGCTATTCGAGCGCGTCATAACACTATTTAGCCTCGTCAACCGATCCATGATGCGGTATGACGATGTATCCATCACACAGGTCCTGAGCCCGGCCTTTGAGTCACTCAGGGTGTTGATAGGTTCAGAGAGCCCCATCTTTGTCGTTCGCACAATCTGCCTCGTATGGTATCTCAATCGACATCACCAAAAGGATCTCACCAAGCTCGTCATGAGCTACGTCGCTGGAATGGTGCCAGTCATTCTCGGCCAAAACAACCCAATGTCCCGGATATGGCAGATTCTAGGATCCCAAGAGTTTGAGGAATTCTACGAGCTTGCGACACGACTCTACGCTTCCCTCGTGCCAGACTTGGAGGAACGAATAGGACCAGCAAATTTATTGACCACAACATTATACGGCGACCATATTGACTGTCTGGTCAGCAACAACAAAGAGGCCGAGTCATTAGAAGTGGCCACGCGATATCGAGCAAAGATGGATGCAACCGGGAAACGTCACAGTTGGCTATCCGAGATTGCGATTACCCAAACTACGATCCAGTGCACAGTCAAGAGCGCTGAAGGGAGGAATGACGAGGCCATCCAATGCCTCCAGACCCTCAAAGAATACGACATGGACGATGACCAGCAGGCAGTGGTGGACATCCAGCTGGGCAACTACAGCTACCGCTTGGGCGACCTTTCCTCTGCTGTCCACTGGTACCGAGAAGCAATGCGGCTCCTGGGCACACCTGACGGCGACGAGCGCTTACTCGAGACATGTCTCGCCAACCTGGAGACGGCACTGCACAAGCAGGGGGACCTTGAAGAGGCGCGGCGGTTACATCACTATCGCCTGGGCCGATTATCAGCATTCGCGAAGGACTCGAGCACCTTTGCAAGCCGCCCCTACCCAATAGACAAGACCAACGACCAGCCCGAGGTATCTACCGCGCTGCTCAGCCCCCTCGATGGTTCCAGTTGCTCCGGTCAGCAGACGCCTGATTGGTTATGGGGCCAGGGTGACGCGGTACCAAGTGGGAGACCTCTAATAAGCTTGACCTGATGCTTGCAGCTTACATAGCTCGCTTCGCTTGCGTGGCCCGCTTATTCATCACATATTAGAACATGTTGTTTTCTAAAGAAACTCATGGAATTTCTTTGACGAGGTGATTTCCTCTTATTTCTAGCATATACTTGGGGCGGCTGTTGAAGCCGTGACGCGACCACGAACGGATTATTATGTATTACGCCAAGGAAACACGACCATCCCGGACGGGGATGAAGAACACGAAAGGTCAGCAAACAATGAGAGAAGAAAAGACATGATGGGGAATCTACACAGCCACAGAGCTGAAAGGAAAATACGGATCGGAGGATCAACCTGGCCCCTGCGTGAAAGGAGGCTTTGATTCCTCAGCTTTGGACTAAAGAGGCATCATATTGCGGTCCTGTATTTATCATTTGCCACCTTGTTCTCTTGCTTTGAAGGAATCGGACCGTTGTCTGCAAGAGAGCGGACAAGAGAGGGAGAGATTAGACAGGTGCCGTGGTCGAATAATGACTTTGAATTGTCTATTTTGAGCCGTGCTGATGGATCCTTTGGTGTTGTGACTTGTCTGATTGATAGATGATGATCTTCAAAGGTACTCTTCTCATGCAGGTAGAGGTGTAGTTGTCCACTGAACACGAGGTTGGTCACGTCAATTGAGACGACATGTGTTTATGCCGTTATCTTGTAAGCCACACGTGCGCCTTGCAGCACGCGACCGTACTGCTGGATGTGTCTGAGGTGTTCCTAACGAAGATGGTATGTTGGGTTAGGCTAGGAGAGTGGTGTGTGTGGCTGTAATGTGCGTTCAAGACATGGCGGTTATAACCAAGGTAAAGGAGTTATAACCAAGACACGATGGTTATAACCCAGGTATTACGGTTATAACCTAGTTATAACTAAGGTATTAAAGTTATAACCTTGGTATGTTTAGTTATAACCCAGACGCAAGTGTTATAACTAAGAGGCAGTGGTTATGACTGAGATATGGCAGTTATGACCTAGACTCGTTGGCTATAACCCAATTACATCTAA